ATAAGAGAGAAGGAAGAGGAGGGGGAAGCACAGGAAAAAAAAGAGAAGGAACAATAAAGAACAGAAATGTTATTCAAGGTCAAGACATGATTATGCTTTGTTCTGTTGAGTAAAGCAGAAAGAAATGAAGGGGGGTGATGATAAAGAATAAAATGGGATATACAGACACAGAGCATCTTCAGGCTGTGGTATCTGTCTGTCTATAGATCTACCCACCTGTCTATCTGTCTGTCAGAGAATCTATCAGTCCATCTATATAATCTTCACACACACACACACACACACACACACACACCACACACACATATATATATATATATATATATATATATATATATATATATATATATATGTAGTATATATTATACATATATATATATATATATATATATATATATATATATATATATATATATATATATACTGTGTATGTGTATATATGTATATATATTATACATATATATACATATATAATATATATATATATATTATATATATATATATATATATATATATATATATATTATATATTATATATATATATATATATGTTGTATATATGTATATATGTACATATATGTGTTATGTTTATATATATATATTATATATATATATATATATAATGTATATATAATATATATATACACACACACACATAATAACAGAGAGAAACAAAAAATCGTGTCATTCTCAAGTGATTTACGCCGTCCACCTCCCCTCCTTTAAAAAAAAAAGACGAGATTCATTAATTAAGAAAATGCATCACGTATTAAAAAATTTCCCCCCCCTCTACTCCCCAACACCCCCCCCCCTTTACACACAAAAAACCCGATAAATTTTTCCTTTTTTTTTTCGATCGGGGTCCCGCGGGAGGGCGCGCCGCAGACTCACGCCCACTAAAGGTGCTGTCCCACTAGCACTTTTTCCGTCAAATTTCTGACAATTTTCTGATTTTTTCCCCCATTTTTGAGCGAATTGTCGATTTTCCAGTCAGGCGATAGTGATCGTTTCCGTCTGAAAACCTCTCCGTCAACTCCTTTCAGCCAAACCTAGTCAAATCAAGACCTATATCCTAGAAAGTTTGTATTTATGATAAATAAAACTGCCGAAAAAGGACGGAAAAAGTGCCAGCGTGACGGCGCCTTCAGGATCTCAATTATTTAGCTGCAGACGACGCCGCGCCACGCTCTCCCTGGCGGCTTCTTTCCCGCGCGATTTCTGGCCATCATTCTCTCGAAAAACAACACACAACAATTGACTCATCTCTTCTCCGGGATGATAATTATATATATTGCGCATATTTTTTGTGAGTTTTATTTGATTATGTAAGCCCAGGAGGGGACTTATCTGGATGAAGGTGGTGAGTGTTATATCACCTAACTGATATGTAGGCCAATGACTCTTTTTTATAATGCTTGTAATTCTTTATAATTTAAGTGCTGTATTTATTCTAAAATATTATCATATCTAAGCTTTGTATGTGAATTGTGAGCCCGCACAGGGACTTATTAAGTAAGGGTGAGGATAACCTAAGTTACCTCATCCTTTTGAGATGTAATTTTACTTTTGTCTCAATAAGTGTTAAGTAAAAAAAAAAAAAAAAGTCGTTCTCTCTTTCAATCTAATTTACCTCCTTTCCTATTCTCTTTCATTCTTTCATTCTCTTCTTCTTTCACACAATCTTCTCTCATTATCACCCTTCTTTCACCCTGTCTTCCTTCCTTTAGTCGCTCTTCCATCTTTCTTTCTATTTTCTCTCTTTCATTCTTTCTGTTTTTCCTCTTTCATTCTTCCTCTCCTTTTTCGCTCTTCATAACATCCCTTTTTCATTGTGTCTTCTCGTTTTCACATAATCTCAGTCTTTCTTCTCTCCTTCTCTCTATTCTTATCTTTTACATTCTGTCTTCCTCGTTTCGCTCTTCCCTCTTTCATTCTATTTATCTTTTCTCAATCTCTCGTCCTTTTTTTAGTTTACTATTCCTCTTTTACTCTATTTTCCTTCTTTCACTTTGCTATCGCGCACACCTTCCATTCGCTATTCAATCTGTTCTATCATCCCTCTCTAATTTTATTTAATAATTTTTTCATTTAGCATTTTTCTAATATTTAAACTTTATTTACCTTTTTCACTCTATCTTATTTCTATTCGTTTTCTTTCTTTACTACCTTCATTTGTTTCGCTTTTCTTATTCTTTTTCCCTTCTCTCGATTTTTTCTATATAAGGTTAACTTTCTATTCTATTTCCCCTGTCCGTAATTTTTCCCGTTCTCTCTCTCTCTCTGTCGCTTGTGTGTATACATCTATCTATCTATTATCTATCCATCTATATATCTATCTCTCTATATATTTATTTGTGTGCGTGTGTATGTGTATTTGTGTGTATATTTTTTCATGTTCTTCATGTTTTTTCTGTGGCATTTTTTTCTTTAAAACTTCTCTCAAAAAAAGAAAAACAGTAACCTAGAACAAGGAATAATGCCTAATACAAATTTAAGAAGAAGAGAAGAAGACAGGCCATTAAACCGATAAAGAAAAGAAAAAAGAAGACAAAGATAACAACCCATTACTATTCTCTGGGTTTCCTCTGCAGCAGAGAGACAGGCCACCGGAAGCGCCCGATCTGGCTGAGCCGCGGCCAGACGGGGCATTATATTACGGTAATTTACTGTCTGGGGGTGGCGCTCATTCTGGGGGGGCTCAATTCTGGGGTCGGGCTTCATTGGGCCGCCTCTGGGCGCTCGCGCTGCCTGCCTCGGGGCTGGCATTTTCGTGTTCACACACACACACACACACACATATACTATATATATATATATATATATATATTATATATATATATATATATATATATAATATAATAGTATACCTGTATAGTATATATGTAAATATATATATATATAAATATCTATATCTATCTATCTATCTATCTATCTATATCTATCTATCTATCTATATAATATAATATATATATATATATATATATACATATATCATACATCATACATATCTATCTATTTATATATAACATATATAGACATATATATATATATATAT